TTATCATTCTCTTGGTAGCTGCTTATGGAAAAGTTTACTGAAATCCTGAGAATGACAAAAAAAATGTATGGAAGAAAGTGCAGAGAACTATTCTTTACAAATTGCAAGTGAAAGGTTCACCAATTTGGCAGAAAAAGGAGAGATCAGAGGTCAAGTGGCATTTTTAAAGGTTGCCTTAAATTATTTCTGTTATGCAGGGCTTTCCAGAGAGATACTACCCAGGTACCAAGGGCTTCTCACTTTTATTCTTGGGCAACCTTTAAAACTGTCATTAAGTGTTTAGTGCAGAGAGGTTGTTTTGACAGTTGGTATACACTTAAGGTGTTGCCATAGAGATAGGTAGCCATTGTGGAGAGTGTGAAGAAGCAGTGTATGAACTGTTTGCTAATTTAAAGAATTTGCCACTTTAGAATGGTGCTGTTAGTTGGGATTAAACTGTATATTTTATGTGTAAACACAGCTCTTCTTTTCTTGCTGCATAGGTTTGGCCCAAAAGCTTTTTCCATTGACATTTGAGGAAGATTTTCTTGTCTTACCACTGGATATTACAAATTTCTCCACTCATGAAGACAGTGTAGCTAAAGCTCTTCACAGGTTTGGCAAGGTAATTTTAAGGCAGTCTACATGAGGTGGTTGATGTTAAATGAATGCTTCTGGTGCTTTATTGGCGTGCAGATGTTGTGGTTCACTTTTATCCTTGGTTCAAATTTATTTTCCTTTGTTTCAAACACATGATCATACATTACAATACCCCAAAACAAAAGAAAACACAATTTGAACCAAGGATAAAATTGAACCACAACATAGACATGGTGACTTAATGGCCATTAATCCTTTAACTCCCCAAAATGATTAACATGGAACTTCTCCCTGTAAATTGTCCATACATTATCCTGCAAACAGGTATTGAGAAAACTCCAACTTATCAGGTAGAAGTTCTTATCATGATCTACATGTAGCACTAAATTCTCATTACTGATTTACAAGGAAATGTGTAGCTGCTAGAGGGGAGAATTAACAATCAGATCTTGGGAGTTTAAGGGTTGATATGAGGTAAAAACATTCCATCATATAGGACCTGCATGGTCCCAATTGTACACTTTAATAGACAACTATTATGAAAAATGATCCTTGTAGGAGGGTATCAAGTGATCACACAAACAGGGCTAGGAGTAGCTGTACCACCCCAAAAGATGGGTGATGAAAGAGGAAAGGTAAAAAAAAGAAAAGGGGTTTTAATACATGTTTGGTAGAGCCTCTATTGACTGAGTTCAGTTGGGCCAGATGGATAATATTTGGATTACCATCCGTGCATTATGACCTCAAGCTGAATATTTCTTCCTTTGGTCTTCTAAAAGATAGACAGAGTGTGAGATCTTCTCAGTAAAGACTTACGAGCCAAGACTCAGTGGGTCACATTGTATTGTCACTTCTCCTAAAAGGAATGCTACTTCACCACAGGTTGCCCACCAGCAATTTGTCAAGTTCTACTTTGTGTCTGCTAATACCTTGTTAACACTTTAACCCCTGAGAGTAACTAGCATCTAATTTCTTTTACTTTTCACTAGCAGCCCTGAATCCACTGTAAGGTCATTCCAATAAAGGAAATTATCACTAACTATTGATGCTCCTGATTGTTTTAAAAAATTCTCCTTACCAGAATCTTAAGAGATATGTAGACAACAGTATATGGAGAATATACACTTAAACCTTTTAACTCCCAGATAAAATTTTTAATTCTCCTTACTTTCAACCATAAAATTCTTATAATGCTAGTTCAGAGAATTTAGTATTGGATCAAGTAATTTTCCCCAAATTGATATTTTTCTTTATTCTCATTACTTATCTGGTTGATGTTGTATTGATATTGTAAGGAGAAATTCTGTCTTGATCACACATGGGATTTAAAGGGTTAATATAAGAGTGTAATGGGGTTAATAAACTCTAGTGAGGAGAGGTACTGAGAGTAAAGTCTCTTGATGGATATCACAACATAATGATCTGGCTAGAGTTTGAACTGAGTCTTGTACCTTTTAATTTGGATTCCTCAACGCCAAATATATGGTAATGGCTCTTGGTTCAGCTTGTTACAGCAGATCTTTGTATGGATGTGTTCTGTTACTGACTTTATTTTTTGACTTATGGCATATATATGTACTTTCTGTTAAATTGCAGATTGATTTTTTAGTGAACAATGCAGGAATTTTGCAGATGGGTTTATCGATGGATTGTGATTTTGATGTAGTTTTCCCAGTACTGAACACAAATGTACTGGGGACAATCTCTCTCACCAAAGCTGTACTGCCTCACATGGTTCGAAACAGGAATGGTCAAATTGTTGTAATAAGTAGTGCCTCTGGGAAAAGTGGTAAGTTTGATATCTCATGTCAGGGGGGGAGGGGAGAGGGGGTATAAATAAACATCATGCTGAAAATTCTGCATTAAAACATGAACATAATGAAGGATTTACCTTTCTTCATTATCATTGGCATTAAGAAAT